CCCCCTAAAATATTTGAGGGGGCCACCCCACCCCCAAAGTTGATGGGCATTGTCATTCAAATGGTGTATGTGTGCTGCATCTCATTATAAGACACTGGATGGAATGCAACATCACGCTAATATGACTGTTTCATCAGTGCAAGCATGTGGCAGACAGAACAATCTCTTCTCCCCCCACACTATTGGGAGGGTTCTCCCAACCCTCCAGAGTAGATTTGAGGGAAGCATAGAGGTGCACAGGAGGAGAAGGGGGGGGGGAGTCCTGTTGCATGTGCAGGAATCCTTTTGCTAGCTTTTGCTAACTCACTGGGTTCATTGAATCAAGCCCACTTGACATCTATTTTATATTCCAAAGAAGGGCTGTATTTCATGAAGCAAAGAATCCTTCCCTCGTTTTCATACTGTGAAAGTGCCATTGTCTAGAGCAGGGGTAGTCAACCTTTTTATACCTACCGCCCACTAATGCATCTTTCTGGATGGTAAAATTTCCTTACCGCCCAGCAGTGCTTGATGGAAGGAGGATTCAGCTTGTGCCGTAGAACCCCCTACCGCCCACCTAGAATCCTGAAACACCCAGTAGTGGGTGGTAGGGAGCAGGTTGACAACCCCTGGTCTAGAGCAAAATTTAACTGTGTACAAAGTGGCCTCACTTCTGTTAAGAATGAAAATGTGTCCAAAACCCAACTTTTTACCATGAGTTCTAAATGGCTTCATCTTCATCAATACTTAATAAATATGCATTGCATCAATGGGGTGTAAATATGGAAAGTTTTGAAGGAGGGTATATAAATTATAAGCCTTTGCTTGAAAGTTCTCATGAACAAGTCATACAAAAAAAAGTAATACAGAAAGGTAGCCATATTAGGAACCTTCACTAGGCCAATCTGCATATCACAGCACAGTGTGCCTAGCACATCAACTGGTACATGGTCTAAAATTGATATCTACCTTTAGTAACATAAAGATTGTCTAGAGTCTCTTGGTTCTGTTTTTCCACCCATCAAGGAGCCTGGGTGCTTTGCCTAAGGCTGGAAGTAACAGCCTTTCTTTCTTTCCTTTTTGGGGTTTCAGGGATGGGAGAATCAGCAGTTGTTATGCTTCTTGATCCCTGAAGGACCTCAGTGCATCCTGAAATCTGCACCTTCATCTGAATGTCTGCTATCTCCTCCCCTATTCCATCTGAAGACCAGATGCAGCTGCCATTGCTTCAGCATCAGCAAAAGGTTTTTTGGGAGTGTTTTTTTAATCTGCCCTCTGCCCTGCTTACCATCTTGCCTAAAGACAGAATCTGGAGAACTCAAAAGCTTGCATACTATTTGTGAAATTCTTCTAATATGGATTTGGGAACTTCAAGAGCAAGTGTGCAAGTTGGATTACTGTAAGACAATCATTAGGGGCTTCCCTTATGCTTGACCTGGAAGCTGTAAGTAATTAGTGGAGAAGGCCAAGGCCAGGTACCAGACTATTAGTATACAAAGCCCTTAACAGCTTGGGGCCAGTTTATTTGCCAGATTGCCTTACCTAATATATGCCTGTGCAACCATTTCAGTCTGCGTATCTCGCACTGTTACAGGTCCCACAAGATACTTGCTTTGCACTTGTAAGAAATCAACCTTTCAGTGTGGCAGCACCTATACTTTAGAACTCCCTGCCAATAGATATCAGGTAAGCACTTTTGCTGCACCTTTTTTGGTGCTAGCTTAAAACATTTTTTGTTGAGGCAAGCCTAGCTAGACATGTGGACGTTATATGTGTTTTATTTTATTTGCTACTGATTTTTTTTAATTACACTTTGAATATTTGAATACCTGCTTTTAACTGTTTTTTATCAACAACACTTTGTGCATTATTTTATATTGTTGTAAACTACTTTGTGGTGTGTGTTTTTGTTTTGTTTTACAATCAAGCAGTTCATAAGTTTCATTAATTAAAAAATAGTTTACTGCCAGCTTCCTAAGCCTGGATCTTATAAGCCAAAAGGGATCCTGTGTTATAGGAAGCAACAGGAAGGGTCTTCTCTGCATCCACCTTTGGCCCTATTCCCATCGTGTATGTGAAGAATGTGGCCCTTCCTTTAGCATTATTGCATCTTCCACAGACTAGGCTTGCCATAAATCAGGAAAGTTCCTGACATGTCCTGGTTTCCGGGTGTAAAAACAGTGTCAGGGAGGAATTTTGCCGAATTGGCAAAATGTCAGGGAAAACCATCCAGGTGTATGGCAACACGATGGAAAAAGCAGCTTAAAATCACAACTTTGCGAGTGTCAGGAATTTTACTTTTTGAAATATGGCAATCCTACCACAGACACACGTGCTTATACCCATCTTCTGCAATTTTTACTTCACTGTTTCAATATATTCCTGCAAAGGTTTAACAGCTAGAAAGCAAAGGAGGCAGAAGACACTAAAGATTCCAGAAAAAAATGGATTCAGGGTGCTCTAGGAGGGAGTAGAAGTGAGAAGCAAAGAAGCACATTTTGTGGCCTCTTTTCAAATGATAGCAGCACCTTCAGCTCACAGCTTCTTGTAAAATGTGGCAGTCTGATATATTTGCAAATGCAGACTTGTATAGGTTACGTGCTCAAATGTGCCATCTCTTGACTCCTGTGCAGCAGACAATGTGATGCCCTCCAGCTGTTGTTGGACTTCAGTTCCCATCATCCCCAACCACTGGCCATGTTGGCTGAGGCTGATGGGAGCAGTAGTCCAATAACATCTGGAAGGCAAATGACAAAAGTAGCAGAAACACCTGTTTTCCCCACACAACCCAATTATTTTGTCTATATACCACTCTGGAAATCTCATCCTTTGTATTGTCCACTGAACAGCAGAGGCTGAAACAGATTTATTTTAAACACATCATGTCTACAATAGCTCAGATCTAAATTAGAATTGGACAAAATAACATTTCTGTGCACCAAGGTAAGGGTACCCTCTCCCCAAGTATTTCATGGATAGATCTTGTGCACTGTCTTACTTACTAATAACTAAACCTTCTGTTTCTTTAATCACCAGCTCACTTATTTCAAAGTGGATTTGACAGTCCAAATAGACTTCAGCAGATCAACCTGAAATAAGGAAGTTAAATGGCATAGGCCTAATATCATGGACATGTATATACAGATTGCTGTGTTTGTTTATAAATCAATGGGGTAGGGTGTTTTTATTATATTCAACTTATGTTCAACATAATATCCTGTTTATGGATAAAATGAGTACGTCTGTTGAACATAAGTTGAATATAATAATAAAAAAACTAATTCTCTACCCTGTTTCCATATGGAGGTAATTCAACTCCACTTTTAGAATTGTGTTGAAACCAGTAAAGAACCACATTCCTAAAATCAGAGTAATTACTTGGGCCACTTTACACATGCATATGCATCACGTGATTCCTCAACGCTTCAAGCTGATTCAGACATGCATGTTCATCACTTGAGAAGTGCAATGTCTAGCAATGAATGGGACATAACAGATCTAACACCACAGTTGGGGCTTTCATTTTGTGCAACATCACCTCGAATAAATTGTCTTCACTCAAGTTCACACCCCAGTCATCTAGTGTACAATGAAAAGCTGGATGAAGTCAAGTGTATGTGTGTGAACTAGGCCTTGATGACTACAAGTGAATACACTCTACTAAAAAGCATTTGTGTTTCCAAAATATTAAGTTCTGTTTGTGGTGTTGGATCTGTGATGGATCACTCATATACGCAAAGCACATTTTAATTAATGAGTGATTAATATGCTTGTGAGAACAGAGTTTCATAAAGGCCTAAACTAGTGCACATGTAAATATCACAATTGGTATTTTACAGACTCCCAATTAATTTTTAATGGACTTAGAAAGAACTTACCTTTGAAATTTGGCCTTATTCGTGCATCATAACCTGATGTCCGTCCCATCAGTTTGTCCAAGAAATCCGAAGGAGACAGTGCCTGTGAAGGGGTTTTCCCAGATCTGGAATCATGTTCTTTACAGAAAGTTGTCCTAAACAAATAGTTAACTACCATTAGCTATTATTCTTTGATTGAATTCACATAATTTCATGAGAGAAATCTATTGCCAATTTGAAAAGAATGCAACAATATGTTGATGATATTAATAAAGTATTACATATCATTCTCAAATATGGAAGAGCCAACAGCGTCACAACTCTTCAAGAATCAGGCAAAAAATGTCGGGGACTGAGATTTTTTTGTTCGATATTGGCTTTTACTTAGACATCATTGAAGAATTTTATAAGTATCGCTGATGGCATATGGCTATTGACCAAACTGCGGGAGGCAGTGGAAGACAGGAGTGCCTGGCGTGCTCTGGTCCATGGGGTCACGAAGAGTCAGACACGACTAAACAACTAAACAACAACAATCATAAATACGCATCTGCCTTACTTTGGGTTCATAGTAGTTTAGAAAAACTGGCAAAACTTATCACAGAGGAGTTAGAAACCTTGGCTGTGTTAGTGTACAGAACATTACACAAGCACAGAAACGCTACAATCTTAATAGGCATTAATTAAATGACTTGGTTCTTGACCAATTCTATTTATTTCCTCCGGGAAATGTTGAGATGTGAAGTTTTTAATTTTCAATCAGCCCACATCAAGCAAGGAGAATGGCCCCTTCCTGCAGCATTCATATCAATTTATATCCTATTTGGTGTTAATTGTGCTCTCATGCCTTCATAGCTTTCTTCATGTAACATGCTAGGCATTCCCCCTTAAGATAAAGAACAAGAAGTACTTGAAATGAACAAATTTGATCCACAAGGAAATGAATTCCATCATAATAACTCTCCCACACATTTTAATATATTCCTTTGTGTCTAAAATGTGTACTTTAATTGATGTATGTTTGAATAAACCATCTAATAGGGATCAGAAGTAATCCTCTCAAAGGGACTTTTACAATAGGCTGTGTTCTAGTGTTATCTTAAAGTAAGTGCTAAAAATTGATTAAATGTGAAGAGAGAACAGAGAAATGAAAAAGAAATACAATGGGTGGTATCCAACATTAGTCACACTCAGGGTGGATGCACTGAAATCAATAAACTTAAGTCCATTGATTTCAGTGGGTTTACTCTGAGTATGACTAATTTTGGATATCACCCTTTATTTATATAGTGACTGCACAAATATGCATTCCGGGTTATTGGACACTGAAGCCAATAAGTATTCCTGATCCCTACACTATGAAGCAGTAACATGTTACCTCATCAACTCTTGTAACATCATTTGGAAGGAAGGGCGGAATGTAAATTTAATAAATAAACAAATAGTGTTGCTAAGCAGGACATGACAACCCTTTTTAAAATTGGTATGTAGAGAAATTGGGATAGGCTGATAAGTAGATAAAATATGTAATTGTAAAATTGGATAATGATCAATTACACCATTGTTATTTGGAATAGCCTTTCATTAGCACCAACAGTTTCACTGAAGTGCATCAGCTGTCAGTTACATTGACAAATACATTATCCCTTTGGAAATAATCACATAATGAAACATCTAAAAATCTGATTTGTCCATTTAACTATCCACATTTTCCTTCTGCTGAACATACAGGGTGTTTAGTTAAAACAATATGATCTAGGCATGTTAAATGTTAAACAGATGTTTCTTGAAGTGATCAAAATCTGCTGGGATAATGACTTCTTTTTGAGGTTTCTTCCGCAAGCAATTGTCTGCCTCTTTAGCACCACATACATGAATTCATATCATTTTTTTTTACCCCATGTTAATTAATCCAGAATAGCTCCAGTCTTCCAGTTTTTACTCACAGTCACTAATACAGAACAGCACTGCTACTTTGCAGGTAAGCATGCATTTCAAGGCTGTGGAAACTCTCCTCTGCCACCCTTTGTGATTAACACAACAGGGAGATTAAAGTGCATTAGAGATTAACTAAATGCACTTGAGTATATTTCCTCAGACAAAAATAAGCCCATCCCAAAAAACAGATTTTACTATCCTATACAGGAAGAAAAGGGACTAGTTGAGAAATTCCAATAATATTGAAGAAGGTAGATTTCAATTACCGGTACATGGGGAAATGTTTCCAGTTTCATTGCCCATAAAACATTTTTTTTCTCTAACAGAAAGGGTTCACTTGCCCAAACTTGTTTGGATTTTTTAAAAGTATGTTACCAAGCAACAGCTATTTTCAAATGGAAACCTGTCTGTAGTCTGCATAAATTTAAAATGAAATATTTATCAACACAGCTAAAATATGTCAAGTTTATGGAGTACTCCTCCTGTGTTGTCCTAAATTCCTACAGGTTTAATAGAGGCTTTCGGAACTGATTTCACCTACCTGAAGTGGTGAGTTTCTAAGAAAAAGGCAAACAAGGCTGTCAAAATGTTCACTAGCTGTCGGTTCATTCCTCCTGTTTTCTGCGTTGAGTGTGGAAAAATATCCCAGAAACGGTTCCAGAGTCAATCAAAGGGGAGGGAGGCTCTCAGAAAGTACTAGGTCTTCTCTAAATCCCCAAATCCAACAATAATTTAAATTTCTTTAAAATCAGAAAGAGAAGACCTGCGTTTCTATACATTGGAGACGGCAAAAAATCAAAAGTACCAGTCCTCGGAATCATGGTTAGGTTAAGCCCAGGCACATCCGAAACAGCCAGCACAAAAGATACGAAGCATCTGAACGGGCAGTTCTCTAGGATGCTTTCACCCAAATCCTGAACCCCGCTCAGAAAAATCAAATCCTTCTCTACCTTAGCACCATGCCAAGGGGAATAGCGCTGCTGCCACGCTGGTCTGTCTTCCAGATCTGCTCTTATTTCCCTTGGGCTTGCACATCGGCATTTGTCTGAATCGTCGTTAAAAATGGGGGAAGAAGCTGTTTGCCTCTCTCCTTCCCTCCCTCTTCCTTATCGGCAAGTTGTAAATATCGAGAGGGGGTGATTGGTGTGGAGCTGGAGGGAAAATGCTACGCTCCCTCCTGTGCCGGAATGAGGGAAGGAGCCCTGATCTTACACACGGACTATAAATTTCAGCACTTGGACAGCTCCACGCTCAGCTTGTGCGCATGCTTCTGGCTCCATCAAACGTGACTGGAGTTCAGAGACGTTTCTTCCTCCAGGAACAGGCGCTTAACTCTCCCGTCCCATCGTCTGTTTTGGGTCCCAGCTTCCTCCCATAAACGCAGGAGAGAGAGAGAGAGAATGGGGCCGAAGAAATCTGAGGAAAGACGTGGCCAAATCTGCTGTTATACAGCTCCGTGGGGCGGGAGGGATACCAAGGGGGGAGAACAAGAAAGGCGCAGGAAGGGGAGGGGGAGAGACAGAAGAGGAACTTTGGGTGGGGAAAAGGCAGCGTGGGGAGAAGTCAGAAACCCACCATGGTGCCTCAGAAATATCCATTATTTACACTCCTGCCACTTCATGAGAGTTTCTGCTGCCAGACTGTATGTAGGGTAGCATAGAAGGAGAGCCCCGGCTTCCCAGGGGTGGCGAGAGAGCTGTGGCAAGTCGGTTTGCCTGCCTTTCTCAACACGGCAGTTCCTGACTCTGAAATGGGAAGAAGTGGTGAGGTGGGGGGGAGACCCCAAAGACCCCCAGGATCTCAGTGAAGAAACCCCACAAGCGCCTCAGAGGACAGCATAACCTCCCAGAGGGGCTTCGATTATGGAAGCCACCCACTCTCGCCTCGTCTTCTGTGGAAACAAGGCATATCTTTGCGCCTTGCTTGCTTGAGAAAGGAGGGACAGGTAAGAATGGAGGGGCGTGGAGCCGGTGGGATGACAGAGTGAAATCATATCTTTTTACCTCAAGAGTTGGAAACGGGCCCTATTTGCAAGAGAAAAAGCAACCTTGGAGAAGGAATAGCCTCTTATTTTTGAATGGTGGAAGAGGCCACCTTTTGCATTGTCTCCTGGAAATATGCAGGATCCTTGACATTATTCAGCTGTCTGTGATTTTAACTCTCACCAGAAAGTCTGCTTACTGAAGAGCCTCTTTATTTGAATCTTCTACAACAGAACTTTCTGTTTCCAGAGTACATTTAATTAAGAGGTAAAGTGGACAGAGTGCCTGTGTATTTGTAACTCAATAAGATGTGGTGTCTCTCTCTCATTCTGGCTCTGCTGTAGAAATTTGGAATGTAATGTCAAGCAAACCAGCCCTTCCTACGGCTGATGAAGATGTCAGCCAGATTTTTAAATGTCTCGTTACATACTGAGCATGACATTCCACAAGCAAAGGAGGTACTCCAATTTTATTGCCACTTTTTACACATGAGGATTCAGGAAAGGCATAGAGGGATGCCAGAGTGATTGGGGACATTTTCTATGGCTCTTTTTAAATTTAAAAAACAAAACACAACTTTACATCTTTCCCTCCAAATAAAATGCTCATCAAGAAACTGTATACATGAAGATCAGTATTTAAAATTTGTAATGCCCTGGCTTGGGTCAAGAGGAATATTAGATTCAGTCCCCAATCCCAACCCTGAAACTCCCTATTACTTCTGAGCTGGCTTTTTCCTTCCGTTAATCTGATATGGACACTTTACATGTTTCCCATTAGAAAATCATTACATGGTGTTCCAGTTTGAAGCTGCCCAGAGGAAGCTCTCATTTCCATTAAAGTTAACTTGGCTTCTGGCTGGCCCCAGATTAGGGAAGAGTGAAGAACCCAGTTCTTTCCTATCACAATGGCACCATCCCCTCTTCATTAAGCACACCATAATATGTAAAGCAATTTGAAGTTGGAGCCCAGGTGTCATGTGATATTGCAGTCAATTCAATTTAGATTTCCCTTTTAATTTATTCACCTGTTATTTCAATTAAAACTCATCACATGTGGAAGGATAAAGCACCTGTGTTGAATCTACAGTCTTCTGCCCAAGCTGTGTCTGACAAATTAATGAATTAATCCTCAGACTCCGAGGACACCATTACTGAGGGTGAAATTCAACTTAGCACTCCAGAGCATTTCTACTTGCCCAGTAAAAATTATCTCCCTTCCTCCTGGTCCTCCAGGAAGGCATGGACAGTGCATAGGGGAGGAAAAGGGGGAAGCCTTATTGCATTAGTTGGAGTCAAAGCGCTGGCTATCTGAATCTGTCCATAAAGTTCCTGTGAGACTGGAGGCTCCTCCACTCTGTTGCAGTAGGAGACTACTGGAGTGGACTGGGCCTCTTTAGCTGAAGAAAGACCTTCCAGTGTGGGCAACAGCTGCTATTATATAGGGCTCAGTCTCTGATTGTTGCTAAAGCAACATCAGAACCATACCTTACATCCACTATAAGCCTCACTTTGCTGCAGAGCAAGACATATACTGACCTTTATAATATTTATCCTTTCTAGCAGCTCAGTCCTGCAGTTAGCCTGCAACACTGATATGCAACAGATCTCTGTCAGATCAACTGAACTGATAGGATATATGCCTGCCCCCCAGGTTAGACCCCTCAACCCAATATCAAAACTGTCCTATGCTGTTCTTGGAATTTTTGTAGCTCAGATCTGCTGTCTACTGCTCCTGACCATTCTTACCATCACTCTTCCAGTGTTTCCATTTGAAAACATGTTCTTTTGAATGCAACCCTAGTCACAAAATGCTTTTGTGAATGGTCTCTCTGTTGCCGAGGTGAAGCTGTTTCACCTCAACCATGTCATGGGTGTGGGAAAGAGAAGATGATTGGCCCAGAGTCTTTAAGGATATGTTTGTGTTTGACCACTGTACCTGGAGAGTAGTACTTGCACTTTCAGCCTGGGAATCATTTCTGGTGTTATATGAAAAGTTGTGTGGTTTTTGCACCAGGTGAAACTTTGTAAACATTTGCCACGTGATTTGGTGACCTGATCTACTGCTTATATCATCCACCTAATATGCTTATATCATCCACCATCATGATTTCCCACAAATTGCAGGCAGGCAGAGAAATGTAACAGATATAATTGACATTAGCAATATGGGCTGACAACACTATTCCTATCTCAGTTTTGTGAATGGCCTCCATTCTGTGCCAGCTGTAAGCCCCTTGCTGAGAGAGACTGGCTTCATGAATGGGGAAACTCTTCAGAATCTGCACTTAGGCTCAGAGCTTAATCCTCTTTTGTAAAGCTGTAAGAGACCTGGTCACTTTCAACATGGTCTGAGACA